TAGAGAGGCCTGAAAGGCCTATGAAGCGGTATATAAGTCTACTGCTATTGCTATTGCTATAATTTTCAAGAAGCTAAGTACAGAAACCTTAACATAATCCTGCCAGGCAAAAGAGGTCTAAAATAACCCCAGAGGGCTGTCAGCCCCAAGACACTGAGCTTGTCGATCAGAAGGTCGGCAGTTCAACAGTTCAAATCCCGAGCACCGCGTAATGAGCTCCCGTTACTTGTCTCAGCTTCTGCCAACCTAGCAGTTCGAAAGCACGTAAAAAATGCAAGTAGGAAAATAGGAGCCAGCTTTGGTGGGAAGGGAATGGTGTTCCGTGCGCGTTCGCCGTTCGGCATATAGTCATGCCGGCCACATGACCACGGAGACGTCTTCGGACAGTGCTGGCTCTGCAGCTTTGAAACGGGGATGAGCACTGCCCCCTAGAATCGGGAACGAGTAGCACTTATGTGCAAGGGGAACCTTTACTTTTACCTTAAAGTTACTTCTCAACATGCAAGCATTGCTTCAGTGACCGTTAAAAGTTATAATGGCACAGTAAAAAGTGTCTTATGACCATTTCTCACATGAGCGTTGCAGCATCTCCATGGTCATGATAAAAATGTAGGCGCTTGGCAAGTGGTTCATATATATGACGGTTGCAGGGTCCCAGGGTTATGTGTTCACCTTCTGTGACCTTCTGAGAAGACAATGGGAAAGCCATTCACTTACCAACCGTGTTACTATCTTAAAACTGCAACGATTCACTTAACAATGGTGCCAAGAAAGGTCGTAAAACAAGGCAAAACTAACTTATCAACTGTCTTGCTTAGCAACATAAATTTTGGGCTCAATTGTGGTTATAAGTCGAGGACATATACCTGTATTGCAGTCTAATAGAAAAACTGTGTTGTTATGGCTGCTAATAGACAAGGGTGGGTTGCTGCCAGCATTAATGCCGGTTCGCCGCACAAAATCTTTTACATGTGTGATCTCAATTCATTCGCGCTCAGGCCAAGGGGAAAAAAATTACCTTTCTGCAGTGAAAATTGTTCTGCACAGAACCGAAAATCAAGATGGCACCGCCGTAGGATAATTGGTTTGGGGGCATGGCAGGTCTGGGTCGCTGCCGGTTCCAGTGACCCAGGCCGCCAAGCAGTGGTGGGTTGCAGGCGGTTCGCCCTAGTACAGGCGGACTGGAGCCTGCCTGGAGCACCGGCTATCGTTCTGGTACGGTGCTTTGGAGGGCCTACCTGGCACCGCAGGCAGCAGTGGTGGGTTTCAAATTTTTTTAGAACCTCTTCTGTAGGTGTGGCCTGCTTTGTGGGAGTGGCTTGCCGGCCATGTGACCAGGTGGGAGGGGCTTTTGTCCATGTGACCAGGCGGGAGTGGCTTGCTGGCCATGTGTCT